AAATGGACACAACCTATTCCATTCAAACAAGATGAAAATATGTGGGTATATTTAGCAGAATTGTTCTGAATATTTCTAACTTGTACTTTGCAGGAGGAACTTGTTGAAAAAAGTTTCACTTCGTGTCTTATAAGTGTCTGTGGCCCTTCAGAAAGGCTTAGAAACTATGCTGTGTTTGATGATATTGAGAAGAAAATTACCTACTCTGGTATTTATAATTGGGGACCAGTGGTAACTATAAAGGACAGGGAAATGTTTTCCTGAAAGGTCACTAATGTACCCCAGCTAGAGAGTGTGCAACCTTTGTCAACTGTGCTAAAGCTGTCTTGTATTCTCAGCAGGTGTGAGCATGAATTGCACCACCACCAGTGATGTATCTTATGGTTTTGTTTCTGTTGAACTGCCAACAGGATGGTTCCTGATATGTGGGAATGACAGTCTATTCTTATGTTCCAGCAAACAGCTCTGGGGGGACCGTGCTCTCTGGGAAGACTGACGATGTTTATGCCTCAGAAGCCCCACTTAACCCGGGTTCAATGGGATGTCTCCCCTACATCTGATTGCATCAATGACTTACACCTTTTAGCCCTGCTGAATATGTGTCCTTAGTTATATTGGTAATGCCAACCATGGTAACTCATTTAATGTAGAAATGAGCAGATTAGCCTGCGCTGTGGCAAAAGCTTTGAATGCCACCTTGCCAGCCACCAGTGCCATCAGTCAAGAACTAAGACAAGTCAGAAAAGTACTGGATAATCGTGCAGCTTTGAGCTGCCTTCTTGTAAGGCCTAATCATGGATGCGAAAAATTTAAAAAGACTGTGCTGTTTTAACTGATAGTTCACAACTCATAAAACAAAAAGCAAGTAAATAGTGCAATGTCTAATGTAAAACAGAAAGATTCTTCAGTATTGACTTGTCTAAACTAACCTCCTGGCTGCCTAGTACACCTGGTCTTTGAGAGGCGTTTATTGTTTTTATCCTTGTCATTTTCTTCAGTGTCATAGCTTGTTGCATACAATGTGCCTCCTTATGTAGGTCTGCAATTAGATATATTCCTAACCACCCCCACACCGGACAGCCCAATGCTCCGTTCTGATCTCATGGAAATGAGATAGTTTAATACTAACCATGGGGAATGATAGGAGACTCAAAACTTGGAAAATTTTACCTTAAGGTAAAAAGCTGTAGGTGTAGCAAGTCATGTGTATGTTAAGCTTTTGTTTCAGAAACTACAGATAAGGCCCACCCTGGTTCCTGAGAAAAGCAGCTCACCTCCTGGGGCCCTGGCTAGAGATGACCGCCTGGGGACAAGCTGGAGGCATCCAGGCCTTTTGTGTGACCCCCCCCCCCCCTTGGGAACAGCTAACCTAACTGCCCAGAACAGGAAGGGAGAACAGGAAGGCTGCACTTTCGCTCACTCTAATCCTTCCTGAATCTCAAAGCCCTCACCGCACCTTGTTTGTCCTCCCCACCCCCTGATAAAAGATCTGGCCAGGAAAGAGAAGGGAAGATGGTGTGTTAGGGTGTGAACCCCCCATCTTCTCGGGTCGGGTCGCAGGCCATCTGAATAAAGGGCCCGTAAAAGATTCAATGGCTGTCATTGCTTATTGGGTTTGGTAGTGACAGGCAGCCCGAACTGAACGCCGTTTTTTTTTTTTCCGGTTACAAGGTCACAGCTGGGCTGCTATCCACCACCCCAGAACCTTCTTCCCAGGGCGGGAGGGGAAGGGCCCCCGCCCCACTTATTTTCCTGGAGCCCTTAGCCTCCCACGGAAATTTGGGAGCGACCTGCCCAGATTCCTGGAATAGCTGTGCTGCGATGGCAGCCGGGGGCAGGTGGAACCTACTCGCCAGCCGGGGAAGAGGAACACCCTTCAGACCCCGAGGCTTGGATCTGAAGCCGAGATTTGTTTCTCGTGGGCCTTTCGAGAAAGTGTTACATAGTTTCCTCCTTCAAGTCCTCCCACACTTTCCTTAGGTGACCTGCTTGGTACACACACACACACACACACACACTACTTGACAGTTTTAAATGACAGCTTCTCAGGGCTTTTGTGTGCCGGGTGACAGAAATCCCGCGGGCTCTCTCACACTCATTTTGTCACCAGAACCCGGTTAGACTCTCGGGAACCCTGGTGGGCCGTCGGTAAGGCGTGGAGCGGCAATGCCCACGATGGGCACGACTGTTTTCTTCTTCAGGGTCGGAGGCGAGGGTGCGTTCGGCGTCCCACCGTTCACCGGGATGTTGGCCGAGGGCTTTTTTTTTTTTTGGCAAATTCTTAGCTGCGGACGACTTCTTGGAGACAGACAAGCGCACGTGAGCTGCCGCTGGGCGCAGTCGGGCGCTTCTGTCCGCACCTGTTTTGCTTCAAACCCGCTCAGGCTGCGGGTTACGGGTTACGCGGCGTTTTCAAACGATCTAATCTCGCCCGCGAACCCCAAGGCACCCCGCGGGGCACAGACAGCTCACTTCCTTTGTTCCTGGAACGGGATGACACTCGGTTTTTCCATCGTTGCATCATCCCACTGGGGGTGCACTCAGGGCCCTAAACGTTCCTCTGAGACACTCTCGCAGGATCGGGGTCCCAGTCATCAGGCTTGGGGGCCTGGCGTCTCCTCACGGTGGGTGGGGTTTCCCGCCCGTGGGCGTGGCGTCGGCGCAGGGCGGGCTCTGCTCCAGCTTGACTTGGTTTCCTGTTTTTTGAGAAATTTACCTACTTCACATGGCTTGGGGTGGCCTCCTGTTTTCTTTTAAAGAGACTATTGCAATTCTCTTATTCATTTATTTACTTACTTACTTACTTTCAAGGATTTTATTTATTCACTTTTGAGAGAGGGGAAAGGAGGGAGAAAGAGAGGGAGAGAAACAGTGATGTGCAAGAAATACATCGATCATTTGCCTCTCACGCGCCCCCCAACCAGGACCCGGTCTGCAACCCAGGCACGTGCCCTGACCGGGAATCGAACCGGCAACCTTTCAGCCCGCAGGCTGGCGCTCAGTCCACGGAGCCACACCAGCCAGGGGGGTTATCACAGTTTTATTGCAGCCAACCCGATTGGGGTGTGGCAGTAACTCGCTGCAGTTTTAGTGTGTTTTTTTCTTTTTTTAGTGTACATCATTTTTTTTCTTTTTCTTTTTCTTTCTTTCTCTCTCTCTCTCCCTCCCCCTCTCTCCCTCCCTCCCTCCCTTCCTTGGTGTGCACTTTTCTAGCAGCTAACGAGTCGGACATCCTCTCCACCATCTGCACCTGTTCTTGGGTGAGGTGTCCACACACCTGTGTGAGGTGTGTATTTGGGGACAGTTCGTAGTTGATGGCTGTTATAGTTTCCTGGTAAATTAAGCTTTTTATTATTAGGTGGTGACTTCATCACTAGTAGTGTCTCTTGCCTTAAAAATCTACTTTGTTTTATATTATACAACTACTTGGGTGTGTGTGTGTGTGTGTGTGTGTGTGTGTGAGATTATACTTTGGGTGTGTCTCTTACAAGTTTTTGTCTGAATTTCTAAAAACCCAACCTGACAACTCCGACCTGAACCAGAGTGTGACCCATTCACGTTCGTGGGGATCACTACTGTTTTCCTACAGTCTTACGAGATTCCTGAGTTTCTCCCTTTTCTTCTTAGGGTTGACTTCTTCCTCTCCTCACCCCCTGCCCTCTGCCCCCAGAAGATAGACAGTGGACAGCTATTTTTTTTTTAAACTCTGTGTCTCCGGCCTACTTTAATGCACTCAATAAGGGCTGGGTAACATCCTTTCCCTGCTGTGATCGAACCCCTGTGGGCTTACCCCCAGTCACGGCTTCCTGCCCACGGGCCTGGGGCTACCCCGCCACCCACGCATGAGTTAGCGTGACCGTTTTTGTAATGTGTACAGCCAGCGCTCACTTAGGTTCCCCTGCCTATGTAACGGCACGTTTTTGTTGATTTGAAAGCAGGTGCACAGCTCTGGCTGGTGGGCTGGGACTTCCAAAGGTTGGGGGTCTGAGCCCACATCTGGGCCGGGCGGGGACGGCCCCTGGGCGGGGCACGTAGGGGAAGCCAGTCGGCGTCCTGCGTTCCCCCTTTTTCTGAAAGCAGTGAAAAAATGTCCTCAGGTGGGATAAGGAATAGGTGCGCCCGCAGATTACTCGGAAAGGAGCCTAATTCCCTTCACATCCTTCGAGAAAGGACAGGCTTGTGAGGAACAGAAGACAGTGACGGTGGGACTCGTCCGTGACCCGGAGACCCGAGAAGGCACACGGGTCCTTCCCGGTCACGCGCTCCAAGGGAACCGGCAGTCACACCCAGTGAGGACACCCAAGCAGCCCCGCAGGGACCAGAACCCGAGGAGCTGTGCCAAGAGCCGGGTGGGTGTGCTGCCTTGGCTGGGAGTCCTTCAGCCCCGAGCAGCCTTCAGCGTCCTGACTCTATCCCCACCCCCTACTGGGGCCCTGGCCCGCGACCCAGGCGTGTGACCTGTCTGGGAATTGAACCGGCGACCTTCCCGTGTGCAGGCCAGCACTCCATCCACTGAGCCACACCGGCCAGGCTTCAGATTTTTTTGAAATTCTATTTTGCCTTCACTCTTGAAACCTAGTTTCTCTGGGGATGGCTCTCTGGGTTAAAGGTTACACTGTCTCAGCGTCAACGGCACAGTCACCCACCTCCCCGGACTCTGGTGTCATGGCAGCTCCTGTGCAGGTCATGGGTTTCACCACTAGAATCTTTTTAGGATCTTCTAAGAGAAAATGTGCAATTTTTATTCACCCCAGCAGTTTCCAAAAAAAAAAAAACTTGAACCCTGGCTGGTGTGGCTCAGTGGATTGAGTGCTGGCCTGCACACTGGAAGGTCACTGGTTCAATTCCCAGTCAGAGTACATGCCTGGACCTGTGGACCGACATTTTGAGACAATTCTGGAAAAACGTAGATGTCTCAACTCTGTACTTGTGTTTCTAGAACTCCCATTTGATTTTTTAATCCTTTATTGGGTAGAATAAGAAACCATAAAGACTATTGCTTGTTCACATTTCAAAAGATCTTTTATTTCCTTAGACATATAAGTTACTTTATATTCTGGTAACTCCAACATCTGAAAACGCTCGTCCGTGGTTTCTGCTGCCCGTCACGGTGGAGTCTTTCCTTGTGTTTGTGAAAGCTTGCTTTCAACCCAAAGATGCTCATTTTCCTTGGAACTTGCATTGCTTGGGGGCAAAGGTCCCCACCCAGAGCTATCTGTAACCCCCCCCCCAGCGTCTCAGCCATTTTGGTTGTTTCTGGGGGTCCAGTTAGAAGTGGGGAATGCGGCTCAGCACCCTGCAGGGAACGGGAGCCCCGATTCCCCTGCCACCCCAAACTTCACCGTGCCAGGCCGGGGACTCTCCAGAGCTGTTTGCCTCTCTCTGCCTGTGGCCTGGCCCTGCCGACCTGGGACCGCCTCAGATCCTGCCCTTGAGGCCTCCAGGGCCACACAGGCAACTGGATGTCACCCTGCATGGAACACCAGGGCCAAGGGAGGCCACTCTCCCTGTCTCCTCCGCCTAAGGGTCAGCTTCACCTGGGAGGTCTCCGACGACAGTCGCCCCCGGCAGACCTGTGTCCTGTCTCCGGTCTCCCCAGGGCCCCGGCTGCTTCGACCTCCAGATGGAGCAGCATGTACAAAGCCCATATGTGGGAGGTGGGTCACGCAGCTACAGTGGGCCACCGGGGACTCGGGTGGGGGCTCGGGGTCCGTGAGCGACAGGATCCGGGAAGGACCAGGAGCAGGGGGACGGTGGTCTCCAGTTCTGCAGACGTCATGGGCTGCATTTGGAGGTCCGGGAGCTGAGCGACCCCCAGTGAGTGCGGCTCAGGCGCGGGGCTGGTTCAGGGCACAGGCCCAACCCGATGACCAGGACGGCTCCTTGGCTGGCACTGGTCTGACCAGGGCACCGCAAGTCCGCCTGGGTGCTGGGGACGATACCCCGGCCTTGTGGTCCTGCCTGCTTTCTGCCCCCCTCCCAGGGGGACCTGCCCCCAGCCTCTCCCCGAGTCCCGCAGCTCCCCTTTTCTGAGCAAAGTGCTGTCCCGCGGCCCAGATCTGGGGGCTGAGCTGGAGGGGAGGGAGGCTACGACAGGTGGGGTGCCCACCAGGTACCTTGGGGCACGCCTGGGATTCCCAGGCTCCCCGCGCCTCCCCCCACCCCCGGGAGTCAGCTGGCCACCTAAGGCGCCCAGCCCAGTTGCCTGGCAGACCCAAGGGGCCAGGCCCGGGTCACAGACTGCCACGTGGGCACGTCTGGGTTGAGCCTTGGCCAGGAGGGACGACGGCTAACCCCCAGGTTGGTTTAGGGTCCGGAGTCAGCGTGGCCACCCTTCCAGCCCCACTTCAGGAACCCTCAGCCATCCCAGGGCAGGGGGAGGGGGGGCTTAGAGCTAGGCACAGGTAGACCCCACCCCTTTCTCACCCCTAGTCTTGGTGCCCTAGGTTGGGAGAAGATGCCCTTGAGCCCCCAGGCCCAGTCACCTGCTGCACCCTCAGGTGTCCCAGCCCCGCACAGGTCCCTGAATATCCCATCCCCGAGAGACTCCCCTGTGGGCGCTCCAGGGCCCAAGAGCAGCATGAAGGTGGTGCCCTCTGCTGGCTGCTGTGAGAAGTGCAGCCTAGCGGGACCAGCGCCTTTCACTGGAGACCGCAGGTGGGAGCAGCGACAGGCCCGCTGTAAACATGGGCAGAGCAGCCGCGAGCCCCCTTGACCCGGGCGGCCTGACACCTGGTAAACACGAGGACGGGTCTCCACTGCCGCAACTGTGGCAGCAGCAGCAGCTCAAGATGTGCAAGCACAGTGGAGTCCTGCCCAGGCCAGCCCTCCAGCCCCAAGCCAGGACCAAAGGGCATCCTGGCGGCCGCCCACCTGCGGAGGAGGGAGGGCTACGTCCGGGCGGCCCGTGCCTGCCCAGGCCTGCGCCAGGCTGAGAGGCCCACGGCCATTCCGGTGGCCACTAGATGAAGGTGGAGTCCAGAGGCCCGGCGTCCTGCTGGCTGAGGGCGCGGGCCTCGAACAGCTGCTTGATGAGGGCGGACTTCTCTTGCTCCAGCTGTGTGATCCGCTCGCTCTTGTCCGTCACCTCCTAGCCGGGGGGGTGGGGGGGGGGCCGAGTCAGGGCGGGCCAGGCTGCCGCCCCACCCCCACCCCTCCGCACCTCACCTGGGTGAGCAGCCTCACCTGGGTGAGCAGCCGGTTCTGCTCCTTCAGCATCAGGATGGTCTGCTGCTGCCAGCCTGGCGCCGGGGGCGAGGCGGGGCCCGAGGCCCCTGAGGAGGAGGGGGGCGGGGCCTGCGGGAGGGCAGAGTTAGGTGGGCCTGGCCGCTCCTGCTTGGCCTCAGGGACAGGGAGCGGCCTCAGGGACAGGGAGCGGGGAGGCGGGGGCACTCACTGAGCCCGCACAGGCTGCGGCCAGCAGCTCCCCCAGGCACCGGGCCACCTCCTGCACCTTGGGCAGCAGTCTTCCCAGCGGGCGGGGGCTCCCCTCAGCCCCAAGGTCCTGGGAGGAAGCAGGGAAGGGGGTCAGAGAGCAGCAGGGCCATTCCGGGGAAAGCCACCAAGCCTCGAGGGAGTCCCCACTGCTGGCTCTCCTGCCCCCAAAGTTACTGCTCGGAGCTGAGAGTCCAAGGGTGTTGCTTCTGGGGGGGGGGCCTCTCCACGGGGGTCCCAGCACCCTGGGGGGAGAGACAACTGCTGTGCCCTGAAGAGGGGGGGCAGTCCTACAGCTGCCAGGGTGCCGGGCATAGGTGGGTGGTTGCGGGGGAGTGGGGCCCAGGCAGGGTCACTCACGGCGCTGGCCCTGCTCTGGCCCAGGCGGCGCTGGCGCTCCTGCACGCGCTGCAGCTGCTGCTGGCACCAGGCGCGGCCCCGGGCCGTCATCTGCAGCCCCTGCAGCAGCACCTCCTTCTCCTGCTCCAGCTCCGCCATCTGCTTCAGCTGCACACACGGGGGCGCACGCGTGCCCGTGAGCACACGCGTGGTGTGGGCCTGCACGCACCTACCCACGGGCGCACCTGCCGTGAGCCCTCACACACCTCTGCACCGGGGAGCAGAGCCCTGTTCCCCCTCCTGGAGGGCCCAGCCTTCTCAGCCCCTGGACACAGGCCTCCCCAGGGAGCACGGTGAGCTGGGCCCCTGAGCAGAGGGGAGCACCGGGCAGTGGCGGGGGCAGGGGCACTTCCAGGGAGGGGCCAAGCCCATGACCCACGCTGCCGCCTCCCTGAAGGACTTCCTGACCTGACCTCGGGCCATTATGCCCCTCGAGTGGATTCGAGCCCGCGGGGTGGGGAGAGGTATTTAGAACTGACCCCCATTCCTGTTGCAGGTCGCCCCCAGAACCCAGGCTGGGCTGCCCCCTCCCAGGCAGAGGGGTGGTCCAGGAGACAAAGTGTGGGGGCCAAGTCCAACCCTAGGTGAGACAGAGAGAGCCCAGAGCCCCAGGACCCCTCTCACCAGGTCACAGTCCACTCCGTGGGTGATGGTGTGCCTCCGCCGTTCGCCTCGGGCGCGGGGGGCCCGCCGCGCGTCCCCCACGCCTAGCTCCCAGGCCCTGCAGGCCATGGCACCTGCAGCAGATGTGCGGGCCTGGCTCACCTCACGTCCGCCTAGTCCAGGGGGACCCCCACAGCTGGCTTCCAGGGCCCTCTGGGGCCACCCCCCCACCACCCTGGGGAAGCACAGCTCAGCCCACCTGCAGGCCTCTGGGGCCCTCTCTGGGCGCTTCCCACCTCAGTGCAGCCACAGAGCCTCGGGCAGCGGCCCGGTCGGCCCGCACCTCGCCTCTGTGCCTGGCTGGGGTCTGGGGTCTGGGCCCCACTTGACTCCCACCAGCTCCCCTCACACCTGCCTGGGGCCTGTGGCTGCGTGTCCACACAAGCCGCACACGCACGCACACACATGGGCGAGGTGCGAGTTCCCTCAGGGCAGGGGCTTACCCAGCTCGGCCCCGCACCCCCAGTCCCACTTCTGGTCTCAAAGGCCGAGGTACTGGGGGAGATGCTCCTCTCCAGGTACTGGGCCTCAGGGTGGGTTCCTACAGGCTAAAGGTGGTGGGGGTGTGGGTGGCAGGGACCTGACATGCTCCAGGTGGGGGTCCCAACTCGGCTAGTCCCTGCCTGTGTGCCGACGCAGCGCCCTAAGCAGGGAATGGGAGTGCCTGCGGCTCACACCTCCCCCTGCAGCCAGAGGGCCCGGGCTGCCTGGGAGAGCCTCCTGGAGGGCCAGCCGGCTCCTTGGAGGCCGGGGAGCGTGTGCAGGGCCTCCCGGGAGGGGAGCATGGGGTGCAGGTGCGGAGGGCGCCCCCCGCTCCTTTGCCCTACCCACCACACCAGGCTCATCTTCCGAGGCCGTGGGAGTGCGTGGGTGATGCAAGCAGGGGTGCAGGGGTGCCTGGCAGGCGGGCTCTGAACAGGCCCAGAGCTCACGTGCCAACCTGCAGTGCTGTGTGGCAGAGAAGGCACAGGAAGAGGGAGGCTAGGAGAGGCAGGGACACCCCAGAACGCCCGGGCCCGGTCTGCACTACCAGGTCCACGGGCAGATTCCAGGTTACGCCACACCAGCACACTAGACGTCCAGCTGGATGGCCAGGAGGCGGAGATGGGGGCTGGGGAGGGTGGGAGAGGCTGGGCTGGGGTCCGGTGAGGCTGGCCAGCAGAAGGCGGTACCGAAAAGGCCGGAAGCCGCCATCCTGCAGGTCCTGCTCCCAGGGCAGGCACGGGGCCTTCAGCCATCTCTGTCCCTGCCCACTGGACCAGGATCCAGGTCCAGCCCCAGGGGCTGGACATCCCTACGGGCTGTGGCCCGTGTTCCTCCCCAGCCCCACAGGCCTCCAAGCCCCTCGCCCCCCAACCAGGCCAGGTCCTCCTGCAGAAGCAGCCCCATCTGCCTGGACCTCACTGGGGACAGTGGGCCCAACCTCCTTGGCCTAGCGGTCAGACTGAGAAGGACCCAAGAAGGCAAAACGGTCCCCTCCACGGCCTAGGAGACCCTGTTGTCCACATTAGGAGGAAACGCCCCCGCCTCCGCCAGGGGTGTCCAACCTGCAGCCCAGGGATGAAACCATGGCCCAGGTGTCCCCAGGCATAGAGCAGGCGTTTGAGGTAGAGAGCTCCTTCACACCCGGAGGGTGTCCCCAGTGCCCAGCGCAGGTGTGGGGCAGAGTTCCTGGTGGGGTTTGCGGAGTCACCCACCAGCCCCTTGGCCCCGGCGGCCTCACACTGTGGCCGGGGAAGCACACGGACAGGTACGAGACCTCTTTCCCTTCCAGGCTCAGGAGCCCAGGAAGAGAGCCCGTCCCGCCCCCGCCCTCGGTGGGCGATGCACAGGCCGCAGTTCTCTGACTCCCGCCTCAGGTGCGGGCCGGGGTGGGGAGCTCCGAGGGGAGCTGCCCCGCACTCACCAGCGTCGGCGCTCGGGCTCCGCTCCAGCGCCGCTCCCTGTGGCCGCTCCGGCTCCGCGAGGCCCGGCGCCGCCTCTGCGGGGCTGCACAACTTTTCTAGACTCCGGGAGGTGCTTGCGGGGTCGGCCGCTGGGGGGCGCGCACACAGCGGCAAGGGCTTCCTCTCCAGGACCGTCCGCGGCTCGTCCGCGGGCGCGAACACTAGGCGCTGCGGAGGCGGCGGCGGCGGCTGACCCCCCGGGCGCGCTGGTCCTCCTCCCCGGGTCGCCGCGCGCGCCGGGCCTCGCGGGCCTCCGTCGGCGCTCAGCAGCGAGGTGCGCAGGCCGGCCACAAAGCGTTCGAAGGTCAGGTAGCCGCTGGCCGGGGCCACCTGGCGCAAGCCCTCGAGCACGCCGCAGGGCAGCTCGCGCGCGTCGGCGCCCTGCCATCGGGACTCGATCTCGCGCAGGTGCACGTAGCCGCGCCGTCGGTCGTCCAGGATGTCAAAGAGGGTGCGCAGGCTCTGCAGGAAGGCGCGCGGCAGCCCCTCTGTGCTGGGCTCCGGGGGCGCGGCGGGCGGCGGGCGGCCCGGCTCGGCCATCGCGGCTCCGGCCATGGGCCCGCCAGCCGGGCTCCGTGCTGGGCCCGCCCCAGGCTGAGTCCCCGCGTGGGCCCGGGCCCGGGCCCGATCCCCTCGCAGCTCGACTGCGGGGCCGGAGAGGCGCACGCACCCCGCAGCGACAATAGCTGCTACTTTTTGAATGGGCCTCCTCGTGGCGTCAGTGCTCATTAGCATTCGCTGCGACCATTGGCTAAGGCCGGCTCATCTTCTCCCTGATTGGCTGAGAGGCCGCCAGCCGGGTTTGATTTTCCGGCCGAGGGGCCAGCTCCCAGGGCGCTCCCGCCTCCGTGCCTGTAGGAGCTGGGGGCGCGCGGAGGCCCAGAGCTGGTAGGGGCGGCTCCCGCCCACTCCTTCTCCCTCCCGGGCCTCATTGGGTGAGGGAGGGAGACCCCAGGGGACCCCCTTCTGCTCCCCGCCGCCACCACACGTATCCTCCGCCGCGGCTCATACCGCTCTCGGATTGGCCGCCTGGCCTACCTCTCCGAGGGGCGGGGCCTGGCGTCCAATACAAAACCTGTCCCCAGGTGGCCTCTTGGGGTAAGCCTGGGGAGTACACCCCGCCCCCAGGGACCCTTCTGCCCCCTCTAGCTCCCCTGGGCGCTCTTCGCTGAGGGTCTCGAGCACAGACACCACCGACTCTGGAGCCTCTTTCTCTTGCCACGGGCGGGCCCCGAGAGGATTGTGGGCTCCAGCCAGCTGGGCGCTTCCCCTCACAGAGGCCTCTCTGTCCCCGCTGCCGCCAGCCCCTCCCCCGGGCCCTGGGGACCACCTGGCCTTCTCCGCCTGTTGCGGGACAAAGCCACTTGTTCCTGTGTCCCCAGATCCCCATCTGGTGACCAGCTCTCCTCAGTTCCCGAGGTCCTCCGCTCCAGCCTCTTCCTCCCGCTGGACACCCCTCCACCTGCTCTCTGAGCTCTCTCGGCCTCCTCAGGCCGGCCAGGCGGCCCTGTGTCCCCTGGGCCCTCTCTTTCCAGCCAGACCGTCACTGTCTGGTCGGTCCGGGTGGGCCCAGGAGGCCTAGCCTGCTGCCCAGCTCTGGAGCCTGTCTCAGGGAGCTGCCTGGAACCCCCACCTTCACCCCTGACTGTCCTCCAGGCCCTGCCCTGGTCCCCCGGCCTCCCCCGAGGGCCTTCCTGGGCATTCCCGGGCCGTGGGCACCTTGCCAGTGAGCACTCATCTGCCACTTTCTAAACAGCCACAGGCTGTTTATCTTCAGGGATAAATCGGTGATGAGTCACCAGACATCCCCTCCAGACAGGCCTCCCGCACAGGGCTCACCTTGGCCCTCCAGCTGGCCTCCCTCAGGCCCTCCTTGCGCGGCCTGCCTACCTGGGCCACTGGGTCCTTGGGCCCCAAGGCCCTGGTGCCTGTGTGTCAGTCCCAGGCTGGCCAGGGAGTGCCCTGGTCCTTTTCTCTCCTGGAGTTACCCACCAAACTCAGGGATCCTTGTGGTAAGGAACTGGGGGGACCTAGGAAGGCCCCTGCAGCCTGGCCTGCTGTGGCTCCCCCTTTAGTGCCAGGACCTGCCAAAGTCTCAGGACGGCGTCCAAGCTCTTTGCCCTGCAGTTCCCCTCCCCCCGCGCAGCTCCCAGCACCCCCACGCAGTCCTCCTTGCCCGGGACACCTGGCACCCCCTCACCTCTGGGCCTCTGTGTGCGGTGGCCTTTCTACCAGGAATGCCCTTCCCTGTTTGCGCCCAGCTGATCCCTGGGCTGGTGCTTCACAACTCCACTCAGACACCTGGCCCAACCCTGAAAGTCAGCCTCGGTGTCTCTACCCTGACCTTCAAAGCCTGGGGCTGCTTTCTGCTTGCTAGGGTGGCTGTCTCCTGTTGAGCGCCCGTGCTCTTTGGGATCAGGGTAGGGCCACCCCAGACCTGGCATCGGCTTGGCCCTCGGTGGGTGCTCCGTGGATGGCTGGCTCATGGGGAACCTTATCCTGGAGGTCACAGTGGAGACACCGTCCTTGTGTGGGACACCAAGCCACAGCGAGGGCCAAAGACAGCTCTAGGGGGTTAGCGTGGGTGTGGAGGCCAGGGGCCGGCAGTGCCCAGGCCAGGCTGGGGCCCGTGAGCCCGAGCTCAGCGTGCAGAGGAGTCTGACACTGTGAGGATGGCAGCCCCCCGCGGACTTTTGGCCCCTGAGCTTCCTTGTGGCCCTGGCCAGGCCCTGGAGGAAGGTGCAGGAGAAAGGAGCCAGTGCCAGCTCAGGGCGTGGGTGGGGCTAAGGTGCAGCCCGAGGCCGTCCTGCCCCCTGAACTTTGATCACTTCCTCCTTCCAACCTGGCCCAGCACGCCCCCACCTCTCGCTTTCAGCCTTGCTGTCACTGGGGGGCTCCTCAGAGCCCCTGGCCAGGTGAGTCCCCTGCAGACCCTGTGATTTTTGAGGCATCAGCCCAGTTGCGATTGTATTTGTGCCGTGCCAGCCGGGAGCTTCCTGGAGGTGGGCAGGGGGACAGGCCCCTCTGTCCCTGCCTGACGCTGGGCGTGGCGTGCAAGCGGCAGCTGCCTCGCAGCCCTGAGCCTATCTGGGGTGCTCTGGGCACTCCTTCTGCGACAACAACCATTGGCCCACGGTGGCCTCTGGGCCCTGCTCCCCGGAGCCCTTTGGGCGAGGTCCTCTGACAGAGGGAAGGCGTCTCCTTGGCCACAAGCCCGCCCTTGACAGGTGGTCCAGGAGGGGGTCACCTGCCGCTTCCTCACTGGCATGCCCGACTGCACCCCCATCTGCCCACTCCTTCCCTCTTGGCTCTGCAGGTGCCTCTGGCTGCACAGTCCCGGCGGTCCGAACCCTTCTGGTTTCAGGCCCACTCCCACCTTGAGGCAGGGTGCAGGGGTCACCCTAACCCAGACAGGCCCCAAATTCATGTTCTGGTACCTGCCTTCAAGGGCAAAAGTGCAGGGGCAGGAAGAGTTCCCATGGACTGTGTTCTGGGGCGTGGAGGCGGCTCTGCTGCTTCCACCCCAGACACATACACCCTCTACCTCCAGCGTCTGCCCCAGACTGCTCTTCCACTGCCACAAAGTATCGGAGCAGAGTAGTCACTCACTCATTCACTCATCCATTCATTCATTCAGCAGACGCTCCCTGAACACTTGCTGTGGCCCAGTCACGGGCTTGGGACCCAGCACTCATGCACCCAGTCAACAAACACGAACCGCCTGCCTCCTGTGTGCCTAGCCCTGATCTACCAGGATGGGCCGGGCAGTGAGCCAACAAGCCCATCTGTCATGGGGTTCACATCCAAGCGGGGTGGTGGGCTCAGGCAGTGGAGTGTGCAGAAAGGCAGGAAGGAGCAGAAGTCTGGGAGGGCCCCCCCTGAGGGGACGTGACCTGGGAGGGTCTCTGCAAAGAGGTGGCAGAAGCAGAGGCCTGACGAAGCCCGGCCGGAAGTCACGGGACTTTCTGGGGGAAGGGTGGTTGTGCAGGTAGGAGCCGCAGCAGGCGCGAGGGCCCTGAGGCAGCCTCAGACCGTCCTTGGGAGAGAAGGCCTTCCAGGTCCACAGAGCTCACGGGGCCTCCAAGGCAGCTGGGAAGGCCTGCCTCCTCACCCCCGCAGGGCGCGTGGGGTGGGAGGGGCACCACGGCCGGAGCTGCTTGCCAGGAGACACAGCTGTCTCAACAGGGCCTGGCTGAGCAGGCCTGGCCGGGGGCCCCTTTTCATGTTGAGTCCAAAACCACCATTTAAATTCATCTTACCAGGGGAGGGGGGTGCAGGCAGAGGGGAATAAGGGGCCGGGGGACGGGACAACTGTAACAACATCATCAATAAAGTATATTAAAAACCGAAAATAAATTCGTTTTAACCATGGGCATGTATAACTTTTAGACTCGATGAGACCAGTTTCTAAAAGGGAGTTCTGTCCCCAGACGACCGAAAATACTTGCGTATTTGTCACAAGGAAGGTCATAAACAGCAAAATATTTTAAACCCCGGTAGTTCTAATAGCAAGGCAGGGCGGGGGCGGCCCCGGAACGGTTCGGGTCACAGCGGCAGTGGGGAGGAGGCGGAGCGGGAAGGGCGCAGGGCGGCTTTCTGGGGCCTGGGGACATCCCGACAGCCAGCCCTGCTGCTGACGCGGTCCGCGGTCCGTGCCCTGCAGCCCAGCCCAGCTGTGAGTCTGCCCCCTTCCAGGGCTGCTGTCCCTGCTGCCAGGCGTCTCGGTACGTGCAAACGTGGCTGCGTGCAGGACAGATCCCAGCCTTCCCCCGGGTGCGCCCCCCCCGCCCCATCCAGAGCAGTGGGCAGAGGGGGTGCTGTGTAATTTTACTTTTGTTTTTAGAGAGGAGAAGGGACGGAGAAAGAGAGGGGAAAGGAGGGAGAAAGAGGGGGAGAGAAACATGAACGTGTGGTTGCCTCTCGTGCGCCCCCCACCGGGACCGGGCACGTGCTCCGAGCAGGAATCGAACCAGCGACAATCTGGTTTACAGGCCGGCGCTCAATCCAGCGCAGAAGCGGTGTTTTTGAACTGCAGTCAGTCCACGTGCTCCCGGGAAAGGGGAGCTGCAGAACCTGCCGAGAAGGGCTGTCCAACTCGAAGTACCCCAACCCCCATGCCTCAGGCGTTTCTGGCGCAGACTCTGGCTCCTCCGCCCACTGCATTGAGCCGGACCCCAGAGATCCGGCGCTGTGGGTGGGGCGCAGTTGAGGCCTCAGTTAGGTTGGAGCTTGGGGGCAGGGCCTGGGCGGGGCGCTAGGGCCAGCACCGCCCGCCTGGTCCCGTGATGCCGGTCTGAGCGCAGGGGTCACGAGTGCCCAGGGGGCCGACAGCAGCGGCAACGGCGACATGGCTTCGGAGCAGGATGTGCGCGCACGGCTGCAGCGCGTGGGCCAGGAGCACCTCCTGCGCTTCTGCGCGGAGCTGGCGCCCGGGGCCGCGCGCCGCACTGCTGGCGGAGTTGGAGTCGCTGGAGCCCGAGGCGCTGCGCGAGCACTGCCAGCGCGCGGCCGCGGCCTGTGCGCGTCCCCCGGGCCCACCGCCCGACCTGGCCACGCGCCTGCGTCCCCTACCCCCGGAGCGAGTGGGCAGCGTGAGCCGGAGCGACGCGGAGAGACGGCGACTCTGGGAGGAAGAAGGTAAGGGGTCGGGAGGCCCGGGCGGGGCGGGGCGGGTGTCCCGGCAGCGGGCGCTCCTGGCCGCCGGAAGGGGCCTGGCCCGTAGAGCAGGGTGAGAGGAGATGCAGTGCTTGGAGGAGTTTCGTTTGTTTCAGTGCTTTGTTTTTGTTTTAATTATGGTTCATGCACAGTTGTCTCCTTTTTCCTGCCACCACTCCCTCCCACCCTCAGCCCTTTCCCGCGCTGGCTTGGTCCACGTGCAGTCTCCTTTCTCACACGCACGAGCTGGGACCGCGGTGGGGCGCCCCCCCCCCCCACCCCAGACGCTCCCAGGCTGAGTGCCCGCGCACACATGGCCGGCCAGTGCCCAGCCCCCAGGCGTACTGGCAGCAGGGGACCCCTTGCACACTTGAGCACACTCCTGTCCCCTGTGTTCCCTCTGAAGGGCCCAGGGTGGGAATGAACCCAGGAGGACGCCATCCAAACCTCTGCAGGGTCAGGGCCAGGTTAGGCCGTCCGGGGGCTGTCAGGAGTCTCCGTCCCAGACACCAGCTTCCCTTCCCGAGAGGTGAAGGGTGGCAGTGTGGCGGGTCCCGGCGCCTCCTCACGGCACCCTTCGCCCCCAGGTTTCCGCCAGATCGCCCTGAACAAGGTGGCCGTGCTGCTGCTGGCGGGTGGGCAGGGCACGCGCCTGGGCGTGGCCTACCCCAAGGGCATGTATCAGGTGGGGCTGCCCAGCCGGAAGACTCTGTATCAGCTGCAGGCTGAGCGGATTCGGCGGGTGCAGCAGCTGGCCAGTGAGCGCCACGGAGTCCGCTGCACAGTGCCCTGGTGTGTCCCCTCTGCGTGACCTTGGCCCCGGAGCGGTCCCCCCATGTAGCCCCAGCCCTGCCCCACACCAAGATTTGAACCCCAGCCCCAGCACGGCATCCAGCATCCACCCAGACCGGACCCCGATGCCAGCCCCTGTCGGAGCTCCTGAAGGCGGGCTGGGTCTCCCCTGTCTCGGCAGGTACGTCATGACGAGTGAGTTCACTCTGGGGCCCACGGCCGAGTTCTTCAAGCAGCACGACTTCTTTCACCTGGACCCCGACAACGTGGTCCTGTTTGAGCAGCGCATGCTGCCTGTTGTGACCTTCGACGGGAAGGCCATTCTGGAGCGGAAAGACAAGGTTGCCATGGCCCCAGGTAGGCCCCGCCCCAGCACAGGCAGCAGGCCTGGGACAGGCCGCAATGTGCCTCCTGGAGGCTGTGCGGTTGCAGAGTGCCCTCCCCTGTCCGGGCCTTGATTTCTGTCTGTCACGTGGCATAAACACGCGACTACTGGGACAGTGAGAGAGCCCCTTCCGGCTCAAGGTCCAACCGCAAGGGGCTTCCTACCTCCAGCGCTGCCGCCCCCGCCCCAGTAGCTAGGCGAGGCCAGGCTGCAGCCCTCACAAGGCGCACCCCTTCTCTGCAGACGGCAACGGGGGCCTGTACTGCGCGCTGGCGGACCACCAGATTCTAGAGGACATGGAGCGCCGAGGAGTAGAGTTTGTGCACGTGTACTGTGTGGACAACATCCTGGTGCGGCTGGCAGACCCCGCCTTCATTGGCTTCTGCGTGCTGCAAGGCGCGGACTGTGGCGCCAAGGTGAGCCCTCCCACCCTAACCGCCTTGCCCCTCCCAGCCCCGCCCTCACTGCATTGCCCCGCCCCCACTGCATTGCCCCGCCCCAGACGCGCCTCCAGCACCTCAGGGCCCCCCGACAGACCCAGCCGTGCCAGCCTCACTGTCGTGGCCGCAGGTGGTGGAAAAGGCTTACCCCGAGGAGCCTGTGGGCGTGGTGTGCCAGGTGGACGGAGTGCCCCAGGTGGTGGAGTACAGCGAGATCAGCCCCGAGACCGCCAGCCTGCGCGCGCCCGACGGGGGCCTGCTCTACGGCGCCGGGAACATCTGCAACCACTTCTTCACCCGGCGCTTCCTGCAGGAGGTCACCGGGTGAGCGGTGGCCGGAGGCTGGCCCGAGTGGGGTGGTGCTCCGGGGAGGCACTGTACGTGGGTTGGGGTGGAGAAAGGTTCTTGGCGTGGAAAGAAGCCAGAGGCCCCGGAGGGCTGGGCAGCTGCTGGAAGGCTGAGGGGTGAGGCCGGCCTGCACGTCCTGGGGCGTGGCCCACGGCACCACCTCCGCCCCGTTGCCGGCGCCCCTGGGCAGGGATGAGGTGCCTGTGCCTCCCACGGCCCCAGCTCAGCTCCTACCAGCCGGTGTCCTTCGGGGCCATCCGCCACCTGCCCCCCGCCCGGCTGGGCCCCTGGGCGACCCGGTCTGAACCGCCTCTTGCCTCCCCTTGCCCTCCCGTCCCCCAGGAAGTTTGAGCCCTTGCTGAAGCCACACGTGGCCGTGAAGAAGGTCCCGTACGTGGACGAGGAGGGGAATCTGGTGAAGCCGCTGACGCCGAACGGGATAAAGATGGAGAAGTTCGTTTTCGACGTGTTCCAGTTTGCCGAGTGAGTGGCAGCGGTTGCTCTTTCCGCGTCTCCTTTCCTGCTCTCGGGGTGGGGGGGCGGTTCTGAGGCCCAGGTGGGCAGGGGTGCGGAGGTTGTGGTTGGGGGACACCGTGGGAGTGCCCCTTCACAGTGGGGGACTCGGGGAGGAGGCCCCGCTGAGGGTGGGAGGGCAGCGACGGGCAGGGGCTGTGGACTTAGGGGCCCACCTGGCCTCTCTGAGCCCTCCGCCTGCCGTTTCCAGGTCGGGGTGCAGGGCCTTCTGGGGTATCTGGGCCTCACTTTGGGGTTGGCTTTGACTGGCGGCCGTAGGAGGGAGGACCTCAGGCGGCACCTGCGGGCCCCCCCAGGCCTGCTGCCCACCTGCCAGGGCCAGGGGCTGCGGTCCAGCGTGGCGGGTCACCAGTTCTGTCCTCTCCAGGAACTTCGTGGCCTTTGAGGTGCTGCGGGACGAGGAGTTCTCCCCTCTGAAGAACGCCGACTCAGCCGACCGGGACACCCCCACCACGGCCCGGCGGGCGCTGCTCGCCCAGCACTACCGCTGGGCCCTGCAGGCCGGGGCCCGCTTCCTGGATGCACACGGGGCCCGGGGCCCCGAGCTGCCCGGGTGAGTGCGGGCCCCGGGTGCCGTCGTCCAAGCAGGTGGCTGTGTGCCCAGCTCGGCCGTGCAGTGACCGCCCCCGCCGCCTTGTGGCTCAGCCCCCTCAAGCTTTGCTCAGGGTCCTAGGGAAGGTGGGGGCTGGGGGGCACTGTACCCCCATCTGGCTCATTCACAAGCTCTGAAACCAGGTAGGGTGTTCGGAAAGCAGCGAGGAGGGGGTCACTTTTCAGGGCCGGGACGGGAGAACGCTGGGTTTCCACGTGTCCGGTGTTCGCAGCCACCGCCTACATTTTGATGGCGCAGGCTCCGGGGAGGGGAGCCTGCCGGGGCAGGGTGGCGGCTCGGGGTTCCGGGGTCCCGTGGGAGAGATTCCCGGGAAGAGGAGTGTGGGCAGCCGGGGGCGTGGCGGTCAGCCTGCTGGGCCAGGACAGGGCCAGCCCCCGAGATGGGTGGTGCTGGGGTCGGGCCCCGGGGTCCACCCCCGCCCCCGTAGAGGCTGATGAGGGGCTTTCCTCAGCCTGCCCAGCAGTGAAGAGCCTCCGGCCGTGTGCGAGATCTCGCCGTTGGTGTCCTACTGTGGAGAGGTGAGAGCCCCCTGGCCGCCCGGGCTTCTGTGGGGTTTTCCCGGGGTCAGGCTGTGTGAGCTGAGGAAGGCGCTCTGGGGAGAGGTGGGTGCTTGGGTAGAAAGTCGCAGCTCGGCCTCGCTTTACCCGTGGGGTGAATGGGCCCTTTGGTTGCGGAGGAACTCCCAGGATGTGTGGGGACTGGTGAAGCCCTCCGAGGCCCTGGGAGCGGCGAGAGGGCAAGCCTTGCGGAGAGAGGGGTGCTGGCCCCCTGGGGAAGCTCTGGCCTGAACTGGCCCCCGGGGCCGGGGGGCGGGGGGTGGTCCTGTTGGCCTGTGGTCTGGAGGTGGCATGTGACCCAGGCCCCTGGAAGTGTCTCCCCAGCTCCGGGCTGAGTTAGGACCCCAGCCTGGGGACAAGAGAGGGACACTCGGCTCATTTCCAGGGTCTGGAGGCGTACCTGCAAGGCCGGGAGTTCCAGTCCCCAGTCATCCTGGACGAGAACGGGGTCAGGGCATTGGGTCCCTGACTGGCGCCCAGACCCACCGGCCCCCAGGGTCTGCAGGGGTGTGGACGTGGCCCTGGCCCGGGGCCCCGGGTAGGAGAGCAGGCTGCCGTGCCATTCTGGACCGTGGGACCCGGAAGGAAGAGCCCGGACTCGCTCCGTCACTCCTGGTTTACAGAGGGACTGCTCCCCTCGCCCTGGCAGCCGCCCCAGTGCCTGGGACGGGGCTGGCGTCAAGGGCCAGCCCGCCCACTGAGGCCGACAGAGAGGCCGCCCGACTCATCACCACAAGGGGCTGGCCGCACCGAGAGGCTGGACCTGCGCACCACGGCTGAATTCTCCATGTTGTCTCCCAGGCCTCAGCCCCTCCACCCCGTCTGTGACCGGTTCAGGCTGCTGAGCTCCCCCCAGGCAGAGTGGGACCAGCACCCCGGCCTCCTTCCGTCACTGCCTGGAATTTAGATGGGGAGCGCCACCCCTTCTCCAGCCTGCGGGTGGCTCTGATCTTGGTGCTTACTCCCCTCCCTGCTCTGTGGCGGGCGGGGGTGCAGCCTCCACACTTGGGGCCATGGCTCCTCCCTGCCCCCCCCCCACCCCCGGCAGCCTGGTCCGGGTTGAGGGGAGCCAGTGGGCCCTGTTTGTTCTCTTGTCCTGGCTTTGCTGCCCCGGGCCCCAGCGCCACCTCCCCTTCGGTACGCAGCACAGGGGCGTCTACCTCCCACTGATGTGAAGAGCAGTGTACAGTGCAGCCTGCTGCTAAACCGGGTCGCCTGCCCCTCCCCTCCACTGCCTCCCATCGCCCGCAGGGAACCCACTGGTTTCCTCAGGGCAAAGGTGTTATCAGGACGGTGGGTTCAGGTGCCGCTGGTCCCTCCAGGGGCTTGGAGCAGACCCTGGCTGCACCCACGCTTCCCGGCCTGGGTGTGATGGCGGAGTTGGGGCCAGGCCCAGGTCTCCCAGCTTCTTGTAAACCTCAAAACCAAACCGTGTGCCTTTGGGGCTTCTCCTCAGCTGCTCCCCAGGCAAGCTGGGGGCCTAGGGCAGAGGCAGGTCCACCCGGTGGAGTCCCGGGCCAGGGTCAGTGCCTGGAGTGCCCCCCACTGCCGGAACGGGAACACTGAGAAGTCTCTTTTGTAGTTTGCTGGGCGAACTATTGAAACAGCTCACTTTTTAAAGACTTGTTTTTGAATAATTGTATCTTCATATAAAGTTTCAAATGGCACCGAGGTCCCAGGCTCCCCTCATTGTTTCCTGCACTGTTTGTAGCATGCGCAGTTACCAGGTGCCACCACAGCAGGACACGGAGGTGCCCAGGCACTTCACACGGATGTGCGTCCTGTGTCCCCTCTGCACTGCAGAGGCCGGATGGTCCCACCGACACAGACACGTTGCCTCTGTAGCCCCCCACCCCAAGTCTAACCCCAGACAACTGCTACTGAAGTCACTGTGTTTGAAATACTGCCAGACCTGATTTTTCATTTTTCATGCATGGGGCGGGGGGATGGAGGGCTGCCAATAAACACCGGGTGCTGCGATTGGCCCCCGGCCTGCAGAATGCAGTCTTGAAGCGGCGTGAGTGCTGGAGGGCCACAGGCTGGTAGCGCCAGTGGGAACTGTAGCCCACTCCCACGTGCGTTTACACTGTGTCTGTAAATGCTGGCTCTAGCACACCGCTTGTAGATGAACAGCACGTTCGTGTAAGAACCCTAGGAACTAAATTCAAAAGACACAGAGTGACCTTCAAGCGTCCTGGCCCCCCACCCCCCGGGATGTGCTGACCGCCATCCATGGAGCCAGGATGACGCACCCGGGACCGTCACCCGCCTTGTTGGGATGGACTGTGCACGCTGCCATGTAGGGAACTTTTCAACTTCCTCCTGTGACTTCTGTTCCTCTCTCCCTCCTTATAAAACCTGTCTTCACAGAGGGGGAGACAGGCTTTGAGACATGAGGCCCCCATCTTCCAGGTGGCCGGCATCTGAACAAACCACTTTCCTTCACGTGTTGGCTTTCCTGGCGGCAGGCGGCCGGGCCTCCCTTCGGTCACAGGACCAGCACCGGGTGGTGTCAGTCTAGGGCTGGAGCCCGCACGCTGAGCCGCAGCCGCTCTGGGCGGGCAGGTCGGTCAGGAAGCCGCTCCTGCTTGCTCTCCCCACCTACTTCCCAGGGTCTAGGGAACCTGCAACAACTCAGTGGGTCAGGCATCTGGGGCTTAGGCGCAGAACTTGCCGCTTGAACCAGCTCTCCAGGACCGGCCCGCGCACGGGCGTGTGCATCCTGCAGCAGATGCCACCGTTTCCCTGGTAACTGGTTGTGCAGTGAGGGACGAGTGAGGGCCGCGTTAGAACCCCCCCCCCGCAGAGCTGTGTGTGGGGTGAGACCCGCCGGGGCCTGAGAGATGGCCCCTGCAAGGGAGCAAGGAGCTCCCTGGGGCAGGTGCAGAGGAGCCAGGTGCGGGGCAGGGGCACACGCGGCGGGGAGTCCCGCAGACATCCAGACAGGTCCTGCGCTGAGCAGGCCCCGGCTGCACCGGGCGGCTCTGCCACGAGAACCGCCGTACGCCCCCAAGACCGCGTGTCATATCGGTGGAAACCCAGCGCGGGATGGGGACGGTCACTGTGGCGGTTACACGGGACCCCGCTCTGCGGCCTGGCTCCAACAGGGAGGAGCGGCCGGTCCCACTGACCACAGGACCTGCGGCAGTCGGGCTGTGGGTGCAGATGACCGGGAAGCCGGGGGACCACGCCCCCGAGGGCCAGTCCAAACCCGCTCCTAGTCAAGGCCACGCCCACACTTGGCGCGCAGGCGCTGGAGGGCGCTATGTCGCGGATGTGAGGTCACCGCGCAGGCGCAGCAGCGAGGAGAGGCAGGTGCCTTTAAACGTTAACCGGATTGCAGGGGCTGCGAAGCCAGGCGCACGCGTAGTAGAGTTTAGAGGGCGCGGCGCACGCGCATTGGCTGTGAGTGCGATGGGCGGGGTGTTGTCGGAGCTGAGATGGCTGCCCGCTGTTGTGCGAAGAACCGAGCCTCCGGTCCCTCTCACCTCCCGGCCTCTTGACGCCACCTGTGGGTGGGGTCCCGCGGGCCCTCTCCACCGCTGTCATGTACCCACCGGCGCCGCCGGCGCCGCACCGGGACTTCATTTCGGTGACGCTGAGCCTTGGCCAGAGCGACGACGGCAGCAAAACCCAGCGGCGCCGCTCGTGCTGGCGGGTGAGGGTCGGTCCCGCAGGCCCTGGGGTCTCCGCCCGGCGCGCCGGTCCCGGGCAGGGGGCGCTGGTCCCAGCGGCGCCGTCCGCGGGCCGGGCTCTGCGGCTTGGGCCGGGGAGGGCGCCGGGCGGGGCCGCCGCACCCCCAGCGGGCCCCCGTGTGGTCTTGTCCTCTGCGCCCCGGACGGGCACCTGAAGTTCCCTGGATGAGCTCTTCCCCCGTGCGGACGCCGGGAACATGAGCTCAGCCCCTCTGACGCCCTCGGGGGCGTTTGGGGGTCTCAGGCCGTGGGGCGTCCACACACCGCGTCCGGGCAGGTGCCGGTCCGGGGTGGGGGCCTGAGCCCGAACGCTCGTTGCGGAGCCGTTCTCCGCCGTCCGTGTGCAGGACAGAAGTGGACCCTGCGTCCGCTTCCATTCCCCTGTGACCTGTCCCCGGGCATTCTGTCCCCTGCAGTCCGGCCCCAGCCTGTCACCCTGCTGCGAGGGAACTGCGCCCAGTGCAGAAACAATATAGCGGCACACTGGATCTCCCGAGTCCCTCATTGACCTCACAGAGTTTGTCAGAGAGGAAGAGAATTCCATTTTATTTTGAGTAAAAAGTGTCACTTTCCGTGTCCCCCCCTCCCGCCACCCCGCCGCCCCAGAAATGGAAGCAGCTGTCGAGATTGCAGCGGAATGTGATTCTCTTCATCCTGGCGTTTCTGATGCTCTGTGGGCTGCTGTCCTACATCAGCGTGGCTGACCAGTCGAAAGGTACCCGCTCCTGAGTGCCTCAGACCCCCCGGGGGTTGGCTGGACGGAAGCGACCCTGCCTTCCGCCTGAACCAGCCCCCGGAGCCACAAAGGGCAAGGAGTGGGCAGGGGAGCCACATAAAGGGGGGCACGGCGTGCCTTCCGCTCCTCGTTAGAACACAGATGTTACCGTGACATTCCCTGCCTGCCCGCCCCCTGCGTGTCCTCTGTGGGGCCGCATCCAGCCTCTGCCCCGGGGCCGCACGCTCGCTCCAGGCGCGTCCCGAGGGTTTCGTGACGCACGCTGGCCCGAGTCTGGGAGGAGCCAGGCAGGGAGCGGAGCGGGCGCAGGCGCAGAGCGCGCTGATCTGAGGAGGAGCGCAGGCGCCGCTGTGGGTCGCCTTGGGCACCTTCTGCGGAGGAAACAGAGGAGCAGCCTCTGGGGCCGGGGGTGCCGCCGAGGGCAGAGACGGCCAGGTGCTTCGAGAACGCTTGGTTCCCCGTGGACGTTCTCGGGTGCGCTTGGGCGACTTCCCGGGGCCTCGGGGCGTCCTCTGTTAAAAACAGCACCTGCGTAGGCACCTTCCACAGAGCACCCGAGTGTGCCCCGGCCCAGGTGGCACGTCTGAGTCAAACGGGTTCTCTTGTTTAGCCCCGAGTGGCAGGTCGGCAGGAGAGCAGAGAGCGAGGCCAGCAAACCTGCCCATCTTGCCAGCCCCTCAGAAGGCAGACGCCGACCCAGGGGACGGCCCTGTGCGGCCCCCCCAGGTACTTCCCCTGAGCTGCGTGGGGGGCTGTAAGCGGGCTTAGTCCCAGCACCATCGGATCGGTGCGCAGTGTCCAAGCCAGGCGGGGAGGGGCCTTTTCCCGCCGTCTGTCTGGTGTGCCAGCCCCGCTCCTCTGGGCGGGTTGGATGCCGCCCGGGGAGGAAGGGGGAACACCCTCTCCTTTCGTTCTCGGCTGCACAGCTGCTGGGCGCCAGAGCCTGGGTCAGGTGGTGAACCACACAGGCCCGTCCCTGCTCTCCTGGGGCCACTGCGAGGGCCAGCTGGGACCCCGGAAACGGGCGGGCGGCCCACACTCACGTCCTGTGAGAACGAAAGCAGGCACCCCCGAGGGGCCTGGGCGCGTGGTCAGGGCGGCCCCTGGAGTACGGGGCACTGGACTGCAGTCCTGCCGGCTGAGGAGCACCCCCAGGCTCTGGGTGGGGTCGGGGGCAGGGCCCGCTCCAGGGAGCTGCCCGAGGCTGGGGTTCGGTTTGTTTGGGGAGCTGAAACTCGGCGAGGCCTGGGCAGGAAGGGGCAGCTCGAGGCACTTGAATTCTCCTCATGAGCGACTCTTGTGTTTGTCCAGAAGCCTCAGAGGCACGCCCGGCGGGGCCCCCCCAACCTGCAGATCAGAGCCCCCGATAAAGACTCGCAGGGCAGGAGGCAGGACGGCTCCAGGAGGAGGGAGGCGGCGGCGGACGAGGCGCACCAGCAGCAGAACCCGCCCAGGACGGTCGTCAGGTACCTGCTGCCGGAGACGCGGGTCTGAGCTCCAGGAGACCGGAGGGGCCGCTGCGCTGGGCGTCTCTTCCCTGAAAGACAAGGGGAACCAGCACCTGGCTGAGCCCACCTTCCTTTGGAAGCAGGCAGTCTGCCCCGTCCTCAGGGCGCCCCCCCAGGGCGGGGTGGGGGGTCCTGTCTCCTGGTTGTCGGGGCTGGAGCGGGGCTGGGCCCAGCCGGGCGGCCCCCACGGGCTCCCGCGTCCCGGCCTCTGCACGGCTGACGGCCCCCCTCTCCCTGCAGCTGGCGGGGGTCCGTGATAGAGCCGGAGCAGGGCACCGAGCTCCCGTCCAGGAGGGCAGAGGCTCCCAGCAGGCCCTCCTCGTGGGGCCCCCGGATTCTGAAGCACATGGGTAAGGCCACACCTGCGCCCGTCAGGGCCCCACCTGGGCTTCCCGACAGACAGAGGGCGTGTGGACGCGCATGTGAGCAGGTGGGGTGAGGGGCGGAGCGCTGCCTCTCCCCCCAAGGCTGACTGTCCCTCAGCGCCCAGGTGGGCCCAGGTCCTCAGGGTTGCATGCTCTTCAGAAGCCTGGTGGCTGCAGGTGTTTCCTGGACACTGTCCCGTGTCCAGGGCTGTGGCCACAGGCGTGTATGTGTGTGGGAGGCCCATCTTCCTGCCCGTGTCTGGTCCGAGAGGGGCCTGGGGGTGTGGAGCCAGGGCTTCCCCTCAGTGTCACCCCCAGGCCTGCGGGCCTCAGGTGGTGGGTGGGTGCGTGCACTCGGACCCCAGGAGTCAGGGGCCCCCTGGGTGCTGGCACTCCTCTGAGGGGGGACGGGGGAGCCCAGAGCCGGGGCTGGCAGCTGGGCCTGTGGGGACACAGAGCGGTTGTGTGGCCTGAAGGAGGGACAGCTCAGCGTGGGTGTCACGAGGGGAGGCCCCCACCCCCGCAGAGGACACGTGGTGTGATGTCGGTGCCACGGCTTCCTGGACACGCACCTCTGTGGCCCTGCCTGTGTGGGGAGCACCCCCGGCAGGGGTGAGGTGGGTGCGGCAGGCAGGCTGCAGAGGGGCCTCGCTGTGCCCACCCCACGGGCCCTCCTCCCGGAGGATGCCAGGCGTGGGCTCGTGAGGGAGGAACGGGCTGGTCCCCGTCACCAGCACCTGTCACGGTGGATGTGCCCACACCTGCGCTGCCAACACAGCCAGTGCCACCGTGTGCCTGGCTGCGGTGTCGAACGCTTTTGCTCGCCGCGTGCTCCCTGTGGCCCCGAGGGGGTGCCCCAGAGGGTGGCGTGGACGGGGCCGGGCCAGGTGGGCACGAGCCCGAGCTGCCACGTGAGACGCCCAGGGCCTCGCCACCTCAGCAGCCGAGTCCGGCCCTGAGGGTCTGGCCTCCCGTGCTGGCCGCGGATCTTCCTGCCCGCCACCGCCGCCTGGTCCGTGTCCCCCAGGTCACCAGCGTCCCTGCCCGGGGGCTGCGGAGGGGCTCCGCCCTCTCCGACCAGGCCCCGGTCCCCCTGACCTGCTCCCCCGCTCCAGCCTCCCCCAACGAGCGCCAGAAGGCTGTGATCGACGCCTTCCGCCATGCGTGGGCCGGGTACCGCAAGTTCGCCTGGGGCCACGACGAGCTGAAGCCTGTGTCCAGGTCCTTCAGCGAGTGGTTCGGCCTCGGCCTCACGCTCATCGACTCCCTGGACACCCTGTGGATCCTGGGCCTGAAGAAAGGTACCTGGTGCCCTCCAGCGGGCGGCCGGGTGGCCCTTCTCTAGGTGACGGAGGGGGCGAGCTGGTCGCGGGCACTTTCCCGTAGCCTCCTGTCCTGGCGTGTGGGGACGCTGCGGGCAGCTGTGCGGGCCCCGCCGGACGCGAGCGAGGGCCCTGTGGGGGGAGGTGGTACTCGGCCTGGCACAGCCGCCGGCGCCAGGGGTCTGTCCCTGGGCCCACACTGCCGCGCGGCGGGGGGCAGATGGTAGCGGGCGCTGGTGGCTACTTCAGAGGGGACGTCCCCCGGGAGGGGGCTGTCCCCGAGTGCCGGGGTCCTCGTGCCACAGCTTTGGACTGTCGGCCACTCGTGCCCACGGCCAGGGGCGGCTCCCCAGCTGCACGCTGGCCTGTTTACGCTCAGACGGGAGACTGGGGGTTTGGGCCTCTGCCCCCTTGGGGAGACAGGAGAAAGCATGTCACCCCGCGGGAAGCCGTGGGGCGCTGGGACCCACGGGCATGTCCTCCCCCCCACCCCGCCGCAGAGTTCGGAGAGGCCAGGAGGTGGGTGTCTCGGAAGCTGCAGTTCCAGAAGGACGTGGACGTGAACCTGTTTGAGAGCACCATCCGCATCCTGGGGGGGCTTCTGAGCGCCTACCACCTGTCTGGGGACCCACTGTTCCTGCAGAGAGCTGTGAGCGCCTGGCCCCCGGGGACCTGGGTCTCGGGCGGGGAGCGGGGGGTGTCATTCCCGATGCAGCTCGTCCGCTGCGCCCAGAGGGACGTCCCTCCCGGCTCCCAGCTCCCGGCTCTGCTGTGGGGGCTGGGCCTTGTAACGGGCCGGGGGAGGGTAGTGAGGGGTCCCCGTCCCGAGAGGCAGACGCGGCCCCTTGGGGACAGCCCACAGCGGTGACCCCCGCCGTGTGTGCGCCAGGAGGACTTCGGGAACCGGCTGATGCCCGCCTTCCAGACGCCCTCCAAGATCCCCTACTCGGACGTGAACATCGGCACCGGCGTGGCCCACCCGCCCTGGTGGACGTCGGACAGCACGGTGGCCGAGGTGACCAGCATCCAGCTGGAGTTCCGGGAGCTCTCGCGCCTCACGGGAGTCCGGAAGTTCCAGGTGCGGCGGCCACGCGTCCGGGGGCTCCTGGCTTGGCCCGTCAGCCCCGGTCCCTCCCGCGCGGCCGCCGCCTGCCCTTCCTTCTCTGGGGCCCGTCTCCTCTCCTCGCCGCCGCCCAGCCTCCGCCCCGGCCACGCCCCGCTCCAGCGCGTGACCTCCGGACCCTGGCAGGGCTGGTGGCTGCTCACGCAGGGCTCTCGTGGCCCCGGGTCCCCCTGGCCGCATGTCTGTGGCCGTGGCCGCCTCTGTCACAGCTGCCTGGGGTTGGGCATGTCGGCACGCTGGCGGCGTAGCCAGTGTCCTGCTGGTCTCCCTGCGCTCGTCCCGCCCAGCGGTCTCCCGGGCACCGCAGCGGCCCCCGGACCAGACCCCGGGCTCATGTTCGCTGCCGACAGCAGCAGTGTCCGTGGCGGTGAGGCGGGAGGAAACCTCACATTGGGCCACTCACCCGCCCGCTCCCCCCCGTGCCCAGGAGGCCGCGGAGGAGGTGACCCGGCGCGTCCACTCCCTGTCGGGCAAGAAGGACGGGCTGGTGCCCATGTTCATCAACACGCACAGCGGCCTCTTCACCCACATGGGCGTGTTCACCCTGGGCGCCCGGGCCGACAGCTACTACGAGTACCTGCTCAAGCAGTGGATCCAGGGCGGGAAGCAGGACGCGCGGTGAGGCCGCCCCGCCGCCCGCCCCGCTCCCCTGGGGGCCCCGTGCGAGCACCGAGGGCGAGCACGGACCTGCCGGCCCCCGGCCTGCTGCCGGGCGGGGTCTGGGCTGGCAGGGGGCGGGGGGGGGCACGGGGGCGGCTCCGCTGGTCCCTCCTGGGGGGGAGGCGGCGGGACTCCTGGGCCGCCCTCCGCACGTCACTGGGGGGTACACAGCGCTGTCCCTGAGGCAGCCCCCCCACCCCCCGCCCCCGCCTGGAAAACCCAGCCGCGCAGACCCTCGTCCGGGACCCGGAGGTGCCTGCCCACCGCCCCCAGCCCAGGGTGACATGACCCACACGGGTGTGTGGCTCTGGCCGACTGCCGGGGCAGGGACCTGGCGGTCACCTGTCAGAGAGCCCCGGGGCCTCTGGGGGGCGGGGGGGTGAGAGGAACGGCCCTGTTGTGGGGGGAGGCAGAGGGCACAGCTCTGACCGCCCCAGTGCCCCCCGCCGGGGCAGAGCTGACGGGCCCTGCCGCTCGGCCCCCAGGCTGCTGGAGGACTACCTGGAGGCCGTCGAGGGAATCAAGAGGCACCTCCTGCGCAGGTCCGAGCCCAGCAAGCTCGCTTTCGTGGGCGAGCTCGCCCACGGCCGCTTCAGCGCCAAGATGGTGAGCGCGGGCCCGGCGGGCCTGGGCGGGCCCGGCCTCGGGTCCTCCACCCTGGGGCTCCAGGTCTGGACCAGGGGAGGCCCAGGACCTCGCGGCACCTGGTGGACATGGGCTGTGGGCCTGGGCGGCCGCCACCGTGACCCTGCCTGCTGCAGCTGGCGCCCCCTGGTGGTTGGACGGGGCGGAGACCGGGCTGGGAGTGCTCCCTGGGATGCGGGTGTCCCACCAGCTCAGTCTCTGCCCGAGTTGGACCCCCGTGCAGCGCCTGGGTGTCAGGGTCCCCCTGGGGTGCGGGGGCTGGACAGCGTCGGGGCAGCGCTGGGCCCATGGACCCTGTGTGGCCGCTGGCTCTGTGGTGGTGAGGAGACCCTTCCGTTTCAGGACCACCTGGTGTGTTTCCTGCCAGGAACACTGGCCCTGGGAGCCCACCACGGCCTGCCCGCTGACCACATGGCCCTGGCCCGGGAGCTCATGGACACCTGCTACCAGATGAACAGGCAGATGGAGACGGGGCTGAGCCCCGAGATCGCGCACTTCAACCTGCACGCACAGGAGGGCCAGAAGGACGTGCAGGTCAAGGTGAGGGGGCCTGGCAGGGCGGGGCGGGGGCCGGGCAGGGCGGGGGCTGGCCCCAGGGTTGGCACGAGGCCCTCACGCGGCGCCGTGTCCCCAGCCGGCCGACAGGCACAACCTGCTGCGCCCGGAGACGGTGGAGAGCCTCTTCTACCTGCACCGCCTCACGGGGGAGCGCAAGTACCAGGACTGGGGCTGGGAGATCCTCCAGAGCTTCAACACCTACACGCGGGTGAGCTGCGCTGCCCTCCCGCCTGGTGTCCCCTCCCCCCCAGTCTCGAGGGGCCAGCCCGTTGGGGAGGGTCCCTGCAGTGCAGACACGCACAAGTCGGGTCCCTCCCGGGCCCTCTGCACAGTCTGGGCAGCTTTGTGTCCCCTGGGGTGGCCACGGGGCCCCTGCTCCCCAAGACACAGCCAGACCCGGGTGCCCCCCACTGTGCTCGGGCCCGGCTGCCCCCCTCACCGTCGGAGCCTTGGCCCAGGACCTGCTGCCTGGTGTGTGTGGCAGTGGGTTCCGGGCTCCTCGGGCGACTGCCACAGGCTCTGGAGGCCACGCTCGCTGCTGGTCACCCGGGGCGACCACAAGTGACTTCAGGGCAGCCAGTCGCCCTGTGGGCCTCACTGCCGCCCAGCCCAGGCCCTGCTCGGGGTCCTGCGTGCTGTGGTGAGGTGGGGGACTCTGGCGTGCCTCTGGCAGGCGGCCCGCTCGGCACTGTGCCGAGCGGTGATGCCACGGCCCCGGGTCCTCTCAGGTCGCCTCTGGGGGCTACTCCTCCATCAGCAACGTCCAGGACCCCCGCAACCCCCAGCCCAGGGACAAGATGGAGAGCTTTTTCCTGGGAGAGACGCTCAAGTACCTGTACCTGCTCTTCTCTGACGACCCCGACCTGCTCAGCCTGGACGCCTACGTGTTCAACACCGAGGCCCACCCCCTGCCCATCTGGGCCCCCGTTTAGGGCGCGGCTGCTATGTGGGTGCCGCCCTGCGGCTGGCACTGCCTACACACCAGGGTGCCTGCCTGTAGGACCCTGGCCCTGGAGGTCCTCCCTTCTCAGGCCTGGGCCGTGTGGTGCCTGCCAGCCGGCTGGACGTGCCCTGGGCCCGGCTGGTGACAGGCCAGGAGGCAGCTGGGCCACAAGGTCTCTGGCTTCGGGAGGTGCTCTGCCCCAGTGTGGGCCTCTTGTCTGTGGTTCCGTGGGGACGCCATTAGGAGGGAGAACCCAGTGTTGGGGTTCAGGGGGATCCAGTCCCTCAGTGCCCCCTCCTTCTGGAGAAACTACAAATGGAGAGTTACATTCCTATAGCTCTACCGTCCTGTCGGCTGGTTCCCGGGCCTCGTGGAGGTCCTGGGCCCCCTGCGCTGTGTGCAGAGGCAGGAGCGACAGGACACGGGTGCAGCTCTGCCTCGGGGTCCTGGCGGGTGACCCTGTGCCGACCCAAGGTCCTGGGAGGCGTCTGTGACCCCGCTGGGCCGGGGCTTCTGGCTGGCTGTGCCATGTGTGAGATGGACTCAGGGATCCCTCAGGGTCTGGAGGGTGGGTGCCAAGTGCCCCTGCTCCCAGACTACCTGGCGGAGTGGCCTTCCGTCGGGATAAAGCCAATCCTCTCTGACCAGTGTCCTGTGTCTGTGCGGGAGCCCGCTTCCTAGCACCTGGGTGGGGCTGGGGGCCCTGGGCTGGCCACCTCGCCCTGTCCACTGAGGCCTGGCCCTTGCTGCTGCCCCTCTGCATGCCTCTCCCCTCCTGCAGCACCTGCCCCTTAGGACTGACCTGGGCAGCCTCCGCAGAAAAGGCAGACCTGGGCTCCCCTGCCCAGGTGACCTCCTGTCCAGGAAAACCCACCTGAGAAGCCAGGGCCTCCCTGAGGGCCCAGCGTGCCTGTGCTGAGGCCAAGGCTCCGGCCTCGCCCCGCCTGGGCACTCAGACGTGCCCCCAGCCGGTCCCCACACGCGGGGGCTCTGGCGACAGCCTTGCAGGTCCTGTGCTGGGACCAGTGGCCTCTGGCCCCGCCCTGTGGCTGCCGGCCGCCCGCCCTGCAGGGCACCCCGTCAGAGGGCACACCAAGCTCCCTCGGGCCCCGCAGTGTGCGGCTGGGCTGGGCAGCCCCTGCGTCCACCCTGAGGTGGGGCTTGGGGCAGCCTCCGCACCGCACTCAGGGCCGCAGAGATGCTCAAGGGGTTGGGGGGTGGGGGGGGCAGATCCGCAGGGACAGCCACGCCTGGGTGCCAGTGACACCGGGGAGAGGGGAGACAGCAGGTGGGGAATCGGTCTGGAGTTTGATGTCACAGTTTATCTGGCCACGTGAAAGCTCCCCCCACCCCCGTCACCCCAAACAGCAAACCCCGAGTTGACCATTTTATTGGCCGACGGCTGATGGGGGAGGGGCAGCATGCTCACAGGTCCACACCCTCTTCCCCCGTGGGGCCTGGCCGGGCCCCCTCCCTGAGCCAGGGCCCCACCCAGGGGTGCCCCCGAGCCCTCCGGTCCTAGCTGCGGGCGCGCCCCTCGGCCTTCCAAGCACTGTGCTGTGTCCGCCGCTCCCGCCGGGCCGCCTCGACCCACCGGCGGATGTGCGTGGCCTCCAGCTGGCGCGCCTCCAGGACAGACACGGGGTCTGCCGGGTGGGACGCTCTGTGGAGCAGGCAGGGGCGGGACACTCGGTGGGCAGGCTGGCCGGGGCCCCCCAAGGCCCCCCGCCAGGTCCAGCCGTGGGCCCAGGCCAGGCGCATGCAGTGCCCCCGCCGGGACAGGGCCGCACCTGAGGTCCAGGTGGTGGGCTCCCCCGCGGATGGTGACCGCCAGGATGGAAGCACTCAGGTTTCTCTGGATCTGTGTCGGCCGGAGGCGCCAGCACGTGTGAGGGGCGAGCTCCAGGCAGGCGGCCCCAGCCTGCGGCACAGCCCACACGTCCCCCCACCAGGGGTCCCCCCACCCTGGGGTGCAGCCAGGGCAGTGACTCGAGGTGGCTGTGCGGCCTTGGCGGGTCCCGTCAGACAAGGGGCCACAGGCAGGGCCCGGCAGGCCAGGGAAAGGACCGGAGGGCAGAGGGGGAGGGAGGAGGCACAGACCCCCATGGGGACCCTGCGAGGACAGTTACCGCCCGAGGAGACCCCCGACTCACCCCGCCCCCGGCCCAGGGGTCCAGGTCACCGTTAGAGAAGATGATGTTGCTGGCAGCTCTGAGGTCTGAAAGGACAGAGCAAGTGGCCGGGGACCGGGCAGGGCCCAGGCTGGGCGAGCCGCAGAGCTGCCGGCCCCGGGCAGGGCCGCTCCCCCGAGCCTCACCGGCGCCCCCGAAGGTGGTGCGCAGCCAGTCCCGCCGCGGCCACACGCCCCACGTGCGCAGGCAGTACTGCTGGCGCTGCTCCTCGGTGAAGGGCAGCTCGGGGAAGAGGTCCGTCACGTTGTTGCTGGAGAAGGCCAGGTTCATCTCCGTGCAGGCCTGCGGGCCCCGCGGTGCTCAGGCCTGTGGGCGGGCAGGCACCCCCCCAGCACCCCGTCCCTGGTGGCCCCCGGTGGTCCCGCCCCTGGTACCTGGTAGTCCCAGGCCCTGGCGTCGGGGCCCGAGCCGCAGCCCGTGGGGTCCGCGCACGCCCGGTACTGCAGGTAGATGTCGTAGCAGGGCTGCGCGCCCGAGGAGTTGTACACCAGCCCTGTGGGGAGGGGAGCCGGCCGCTCGGAGGGGCCCTGCCGGCGTCAGGGCTCTGGGGCCTCGGCCCCGGGAGCAGGGGGGCCCCTGGGTGTGCACTGGTGCCTCCCACCCCCCCCCCCCGCCGGGGCCTCCTGCAGCCCCCAGGGAGCAGCGACCCCAGGCCAGGACAGGAAGGAGATGGGCATTTCCTGCCCAAGGTGATGGTGGAAGTGTCTTGGGCCCTGAGGTCCCCCGGACCGCCCCCACAGCCCACCCGCCCTCACGCCCACGGCAGGACCCCCAGTCTCTGCACCAGCCCAGGGCAGAGGGGCGGGCGCACCTGCCAGGGCTCGGAGCCCCTCGATCCTGCCGCTCTCGTTCAGCAGCCGGTCGCAGGCCACCTAGCGGGGGGGGCGGGGGGGGACGCCTCAGCAGGGACCCCCCTGGCGACCTGCAGCCCCCGCGGTTCCCCTTCCCTGGTCCCAGGCAGCAGAGCGGAGCCCGGCCCTCAGGCTGGCCGGCACTGACCGCCCCGGGCAGCCGGGGCCCTTCCCTGTCCACGGGCGCAGGCGCCTTGCCTTGACGGGGTTGGCGGGCAGGCGCTCCAGGAAGTCGGTGGGGTACGGGTAGTCCATCATGGCCAGCACGGTGAACGCGTTCCGGGCAAACCCGAAGAGCTGGACCAGGTCCTTCCAGCCCGAGAGTGGCCGGCAGAGGCCGAAGGCCTGGCTGACCGCGTCATAGGCTGCCGGGAGGGGGCAGGAAAGGCCTTTGGAGGCTGCTGGTCGGCGAGGGGGGACGGGGTGCGAGGGGCGGGGCGTGGCCTCACCTCCCTGGAGGAACAGATCCTTGATCTGCCGGAAGGCGTCGCGCACGCCCTGGGCACACTTGGGGCCCTGGCCCTCAAAGTCCTGGAGGAGGGAGCGGTGGTTGTGGCTGCGGCTGCGGCTGGGGCTGGACCCCGAGCCCCTCCCCCGCCCCCACTCCCTCCTCACTCACCGCAGAGACGTCCCGGAAGAACTGGTAGGCGTCCCCAAGGCCAGCCACCAACACCACAGGGGCGCTGGCCGCCAGTGCCCCCGCCACTAGGTGGGGGTACTTCATCCTCATGTAAGCGCTGAGCATCCCCCCGTAGCTGTTGGGGGCACGCGCGGGGTCGAGGCTGCGGACCTCCTTCCCAGACCCCGCCCACTAGGGGCGACTCGGCTCCCTCCCAGACCCCGCCCACCGGGGCGACTCCGGCAGCAGCCTCTCCACCCCCCGTGAGTGGGGGGCTGCGCCCCAGCACTGGCCCTCTCCCCCTCAGCCCCATGCCCCCCACACCCCAAGCGGTGCCTGAAATGTCTGAGACCCACACCACAAGTGTCGCCCCGGGGCTGGGTGCCCACTCGTCCCCGGAAGACAGAGGAGACGGCGAGGACCCACCTCCCGCCAAAGGCGACGGCCGGGACGTCCTGGGCCCCGAGGTCCCGCCGCAGCGCCTGCAGCAGCCTGGCGAAGTCGGCCAGCGCCTGCTCCACCGTCAGCAGCTCCATGTGGCCTCGCTGCGTGGACCGCTCGCCGAACGGGAGCGACTTCCCGTAGTACCTCTGCGGGCGGCACGGGGGCCGTGGCCTCGCCTGCGCCGAGCCCTGGCGCCCCCAGCGGCCGCCCTCCTCCCCCCACCGCGGCCGGTACCCACGTGCTCCGCGAAGACGACCAGAGCCGCCTGCTGCGCCGCCAGCTCCAGGATGAACCCCGAGTTGTTGGCGAAGGCCCACACGTCCCCCTCGTTGCCCGTGTAGAAGAACAGGGGCCCCTCGCCCCTCTTCCAGAACTTCTCTGCGGGGGGCAGGCGGGAGGGGTGGGGGTCAGGCGCGCGGCAGGCCCCCCGGGCCCGGGGGTCCCCACGAGGCCTCACCTGACACCAAGAACCGCTGCGGGAACGTCTTGTTGCCAAACCTCTCGAAGTTGAAATGGTCCAGAAACTGCTCGAAGTAGCTTTCTCGGAAGTCGGGGTCCAGGGCTCTGTGGGCTGGAGCGCACAGCGCTCAGCAGATGAGACCACCAGGAGCGGGGGAGGGGCCGCGGGTCCCCACTTACCCCTGGCCTCCGGGCCGCGCAGCCCCAGCGCCAGCAGCAGGGTCAGCGCCCAAGGCAGGGCCGGCGGGGACGGAGAGCCCATGTCTGCTCCGCCCGCGGGCCGGCAGTCACATGACTAGCGGGGCCACCCTCACGTGGCTGGCTGGGCGGAGCTGTGCGGGCATCTTCCGCCCCATCCCCAAGCTTCCCCGCAGCCACCGTCACCACGGAGATGGTTGCCGTGGAGACACATGAAGCAGAGGGAGGGCTCCACGGCCTGGCAATGGGACAGGGGACCTGTGTGCCCAGCCACCTGCCCTCCAGTGGCCACCACTAAGGGCCCGGCCTGCCCCACGCCTCCCCGCTGGGCACCCAAGCTGGTCCTCCTCACTCCAGTCACCCGCCAGAGGGGCAGGTCACCAACACACACCTGGGCGAGAAGTGCCCGGCCCTGCGGCCCAGCTGTCCCAGGCTGACAGCCTCCCTGAGATGCCCGAGCCGGGGCCCCTGCTGGCAGGCACCGGGGGTGGGGCTGGGTGGAGGAAACACCCGGAAGGTGGGGTCAGGGGGGTCGGGTGCTGAGGGCAGCACGCCTAACCAAGCAGCTTGTCCAGGGGGCAGCCAGGGGCCGTGTGGCTGGCTGTGGGGCAGTGTCCTGGGGCCCAGGCAGGGGCGGGCAGTGGCTGGCGACTGCTGGAAGCCGGGGGAGGGGGTCCCCATCCCCCCAGGCCAGTCTGTTCACCGGCTCTCCAGGGGGACGGGCTCCCCAGGTGGCCACCACCCCCTGCCCCAGCGGCGGGCCGTCCAGGGCCTGGGTGGGGGGCCAGGCCCACAGAGCCATGCCCCCCCACTGCCCCCGCTGCAGAGGAAGGAGCCCGTCTCCACTCCAGAGGCTGCCCCTGGCCAGGGTGGCCCCCGGC